TTAGAAAACATATCGTGTTTAAAGATTGGAAGATGTTAGCCTAGCATTATGCATTAGAATAGTGGATAATTTGGCATTTAATCGATTTGCATCGGCGTTAGTGGAACCTCTTAAATCACAGGCCTAGTCGTATAATTTCTCTTAAACACCTTCATCGAGGGGAGCTTTGTAACGACGAGACGGTGTCTTGCTCAGATCGATACTGTACTATTGACGTGAACCTTAGATAGACCTAGATACGAACACAATGCATTTGCTCACAATTTAAAATTTAATTTCGGCCACGTTGTTGATGACTCAGGTAATGCCACGCGAAGCCGGTTTAAGAAAAACATATTAGGCGCAAATATACCACGTAGGCCTACTCAAATGTGGTATACCGCATAAATTGTAGATTGTCATTATCTTCATTTAGCATCATCATCATCATCATCACCACCACTACCATTCCGTCATCATTTACATCGTCATTCTCAACATCATCCTAACATCACATAGGGCCTATCTAACACACAACAGTTCTTTTCAGAACCATCTCCTACGCAAGCATTTAATAGCGCCTATATTTTCCTAAAAATCATCATCATATCACCATCATCATCCCCATTACCATTATTCCTATCATTGTCATTGCCATTGTAATTATTATCATTAACAGTACTATTATCACCATCATTATCATTATCGTTATTATCATTATTACTATTTACTATTATACATAGGCATGCTTAGTGCAAATATACCGGACCCTAATATGAGGTAGTACCACATCAATTGTAGATATTTTAATATTTCACCATTCCCATTGCTTTTGTTATCCTCTTCCTTATCATTATCTTCCTTATCATCTTTATCATTATCTCATCATTATCATCATAATTCATAGTATCATCATGACCATCATCTTCATTATCATCGTAATTATTATCTCATATTTTATTACGTCTAGTTACAACCTGTTTTAAACGTTGGTTTCGAACTAAAAAGAATATAATAAAAATAACATGATTATCATCATTCATCATCACATTTGTCCTAAATGTTTATGTAGAACAAAACATTCAGTGACATTAGCAGTTAAATATCAGCTCTTTTAACATAATACCTAACAGCGGCCTCTATACAACACTGACATGTGAACACATTACTTGTTTCATTAATTTGTTACAAAGTGGCACGACCTAGCATAGAGAAAAAAACGTGCATTGGCACATCACGTGCGAACCACGACAGCCAATAACAGTCGTGAGTTCAGGATGTATCATTTCAATAAACAAGAAAGGATTAGTACTGGGCCAAAACTAGTTATGACGTCACAAAAGTAAGCATCATGTTTTTTTTTTTTAATCATCGTTAGGCCTATATGATCGAATAATTGTGTAATGTCGAATTTCAGAAAGCATAATGACGAAACATTATTCCCTCAAAAGATAATTAACATTAGACCTGTACAGGTAAAAGAGCAAAGATCCGGCCTAATTGGCTTGCTTTAGGAACAGTAGTTCACTGTGCTTTTACTTCATTAAACATTTAATGTCTGATTATTGAGCAAAGAATGCGAACAGTAAATTTAATCGCTGAATTACTTACCTTGTGTAATTAAATATGTCGGCTTTTGATTGAAAGGTAGGAAGAAAACATTATCTTGCACTCCAATTTAGCAAACACAAAATATAATGCCATTATTTATAACTATTACGAATTATAAAACAATAATCTTTTTTATAAATCATTGAACAAAATTTATAGCAATTATAATGATTGATAATTGTGCAATAGCTATTTTAATTCGAAAATAAATATAATTTAATATAACTTTTAATACAACGTAGTATTGTCTTGCTATTTTGTTGATGTTACCTCGGAATTTCTCACGTAACTGTGAATGGTTTTGCGAGCTTAACGATGGCGTGCACATTAAAATGCAAGCAAGAAATTTACTTAAAACTGGCATCAAATTTATTTGACTGGTACACATTCAAAAAATGTTATGCATTGACATCCTCCTTAACGCCAACCAATATTGTTTATGCTGTTTATATTTTCGACAATATAACAGACTAATGAATTAATTGATCGAATAATGTACACTATACACACCTACTCTTTAAATTTCTAATTTACAAAATGTTTAAAAAAAGTTTAAAATTAATATCAATGGTTGTATTGTTCGCGCACTGAAGTTTAACGCAAAAGTTAGATTTGGAAGTACTCATGACGTCATGCACAATTTACAGTTCACAAAAGGCTGCCTTATCTTACACTTCATCCAGTGGCGAATCCAGATATTTTGCCCGAGTGCGCACGTGACAATTGAGCACCAATGGTCCAAGGGGTTGGGTAATAGGGATGTTTCTTTACCTATCGTGGAGTGTCCAGGAGCTATGCACTAATTTGTGATTCGAGCGAATTAAGCGTTAAAAGGAATTTAAGTTATATAAAGCTCTGTTCAGACCATCAAATTTCATTTGACAAAAAAAAAACCTGTAGTATGCCCATATATAGTCATGATATGTCTATATATAGTCATGATATGCCTATATATGCTCATGATATGATGTCATCATGACCATATTTAGGCATGTCACGTATTCTGTACAGGGATTAACATTTTAGCTGTCTTGTAAAACACAATTACTGCTTTATACGAAAAGAATAAAAAAGCACAGAAATACCTGGTAACAACAAAATTATTGTATTTATATTAAAAACAATGAGAAAAAAACCAACCGCTATTCATAATATTATTTCTATCATTTGTAAACTAATGGTTTTCTGAAAACAAATTCCTTAAATCATCTGCATACATAAAGCAGTTCCAGTTTGGATAATTTAAATTGGAAATATGTATCATAAATAGACAGAAAAATATAATAAAAGAAGCTTTAATAATATACTAATAATATTTATTGAACAAATACCTTATACACATACAAAACCAAAACATTAAAAAAGTATTGTACGCACATTAACACCTCTAAAGCCCTGTCAAGACTATAACATTTTGACAAAAAACATTACATGCCTAAATATGGTCATGATGGCATCACATCATTACCATATATAGGCATATCATGACTATATATGGGCATAAAGTGTGGACAAAGCTTAAAGTATGATCCACTCTTTGGTGAAAGTGAAGATCCATTTTAAACGCACAAGCAGTTGTCAGCTACTTTACTATAAAATAATTACAGTACTTTAGGGTTGTACTATTTAATTGGTAATATAATACGACGAGAGATAGCTTCACAGATGTGACATAAATAATGATAACAGTTTATTATTAATCAATAATGCGACATGAAAAGATATTTATCACAGTAGAACCTGTTAGGTGATGTTGAAATACGGCGAAGCGAGTGACCGATAGTGCAGTTAAAGTGTAAAAAGGTTAATGGCGTCTTACAGGATCATCTACATAGAGTTGATCATGAATTCGCAGCTAAAATGATGATGATATTGGAATAGGTAAATGAGGTAACTCCTCCAAACAGTAATGCTATGCAGAAAACCAGGCCACTGGGGATAGTGGCGTATCAAGGGGTACTTCACATGGGGAAGGGATGATGGGGCGGTGAAGGAAAGGTAGTTGTCTCTTAGGGGGGGGGTGTTGGAAATATATTATGGTTTAATATGAAAACATTTTTAGCTACATGAGGTTTTTTTTTGCTCTGCATGTTTCCAGACATGTGAGTAAAAAACGCCTATATACACATATACTTACTATACGGAATATATACCATAACTAATTTGAATAGAGTATTATTTTCTATGGTTTATGAAGCTGTGCGACCTATAAGCTCTTCTAGCTTCTATAGCTCCACTATGTGTAAGCGTAACAGTCAGCTGTATGAGAGAAAGCACAGGGGGTGGTGGTAGATCTGCACGTATATCTATAGGTCCCTGTAACGGGTGACAATCGCCTTGATTGCAAAGGGTTGTAGGTTCGAATCCCGCCAAAGACACCTATTTTCATACAACAGAATAACTTTTAGTTGAAGGCCTATGCTTGATACGATTGTAACATCGTGTTCCTATTTGAGTAGTTATTATCATTTATCTATTTGTTAATATAATATTATATATATGCCTAAATATATATATAGGCATATTATATAGGCCTATATATATAATATAGCGTAACGGTAATGAAACTTAAATACGTAAGATGTTGACTTTAGAAACACTAAAATTTATTGATGCGAATATTTCGGCTACTCCTATAGTCTTGTTCAACGCTTGACATAAAATTAACATTCTGAGAGAGTTAAACGGTAATGTACAAGCATTGACAAAGACTACAGGAGTAGCCGAAATATGCGCTTCCAAAAATGTGTTTCTAAAGTCAACATCTTACGTATATCAGTTTCATTACGCTCATCACGCTAGATTATATCAATCAATATTTAAATTGAATTGAAGAAAAAAAAAGAGAAAATAGAAAAGAGAGAACAGAAAATATGAAACACAGATGACCACAATAATATAAGTGACAGGAGAGCTAAATCTCAAAGTAAGGGGGTGGGGGGCGGAATGGGAGAGTGACAATTAAGATGGTTCAGCCAAGAAGAAGCGAAACAAGGACGGCGAGGAAATGAGGAAAAAACCCGAGAAAATTAACTAGCATGACTGGAAAGGAAAATACGCGTTAAGTTGACGGATGGAACGAGGAAGTGAAGTATGATAATGAAAAAAAAAAAATCAAATGAAAAATAAATTATCATAGAGAGAATCTTTTCATGGAGCATGCAATTCTGCCGTAGTATATGTCCGTTTATTGAACTTTTAAACCAAAATCGAAAGTGCAATCGAGGTAACCATTACCTGTAACATTATATCTTTGCCTAAAAACAGCCCCGAAGCGTACAAAGAAACGTTTATTACAAGTACAACGGAAACAAAGTAACATATTAGGCCTAATTATGTAAAACTTAAAATACATTACAACTCTCGTCTGTTCCTGATTATAAATTAGCCTACCAATAAATTTCACTTACCTTTACCTTTTGCAAAGGTTAAAGCCATCAGAACCATAATTACAAATAGAAGAACGAGATACAACGTAACGTTAGATTGCGTTGAACAACAATTCATTGTTTCTTGTGAAAAACTTTAAACCCCGTTTGCAACCAATCATAGCACGTACGTATTCCATGTGATTCACTCAACTGCTGTACCTAGGCCAGTCTTGTAACGTAGCCGATGATTCGATCTGACCACCTAGAAAACTGGCGATTACACGATAAGATTTTCAGTTGACGAGCGCTTTATGCTTTAATCTCTGTCGTTAAATGAGTGTGTGCAAAATCTGCAGTGACAAGTCTAGTAGAAGCCGGTTTTTTCTGGGGAGTTAAACAATAAGTGCACTATTACAAGCGTCCATTAATACATGAAAAATTCTCACAATTCCTCATAATAACAAACGCATTATGAGTAATGTCAACGAGTTACTGAAATAATTGACGCTATAGAAGTCGATGAAGCGCATAGACATTAAGACAGAAACGCACAGTGAGTATTATAACGTGTCAATGAATTGCTGAAAATTTAACACTTGTCAACTAATGGCATAATCTTCAGGCTTGAATTTAAACTGCATTAAAATGCGGAAACGCTTTAAAACGAATTTTGAGCTTAAACTGAAGAAACAATAAAATATAACGCGGCTGTTTCTAAGAAATAAAATCACTTTAAAACAAAATGTTTTTAAAAAGATCTCATTTGGCATTAAGAGGACTGCCCACTTCTCAGATGTTAAAATTGTTTTAATTATAATGAACAGCCTATATTAACCGATTTCATCGCGATGTGCCAATACAACAGTAATAAATAACGTTATTGTCTTTCTTTTGAAACAGAGACACGATTCACAATGAGAAGTGCAACAAAAACGAAATGTAAAGAAAAGCCAATTGTTTTTTAACAATCATACAATATGCGAAAAAATATGTTATAACAGTGGAATTTATAATATTTATTAAAGATTTCATTTGCTATTTTATTTCTGTATACTAGAAAGTGTTTGAGTATAACAATGTGTGGTATTTTCTTTTTATCAAGATATTTTCTTGTGCAAGACTATAGAAACATTCAATATAAAATACCGTAACAACTGCTTAGGCTATAGAGTTTACACGACATGTCTATCATCCAAAAATCTAATTTTCAAGGATAGTGGCGTATATGGTAAATCGAAAGAGCTAGGTGAAAGTTATTTCGGGGTAGGCCCCTTATAAATAAAATAACAATAGCCTTAAGTTGGATTCGTCATTATTATAACTGATGCAGAGCATTCCGCTTGCAAAATGATCATCGTTTGATCATACGTTGGCATTAATCGACAGTCAGCGGACTGGACTCCGTCAGGAGCAAGCAATCACACAAAGCGCGGCGAATTCGTCGGCCTCCGTGTACGTGCACCAGGCTTACGCAAGCCTCTGATTTGTATACATTGGTAGCACATTATAACATCTTAAAGATGAAATGAATCATCCAGCGAATACTGTATCGGTCGTATGAATAGTAAGGTAATTTGTAATAAACGAAATCAATATTCTGACTTTAATTGTCTGATGCTGATATGCTGTGAACGCCGGGGAGTTATCTCTAAACTATTTGGTTAATTCCTGTAGGCCTACGATTTTCATTCGTTTATACAAGCGTGTATGATAACTATGGTGACACATGGGTTTACAACACCTTTAATATAATAAACTCACTAGTTTGTCTTAGTAAAATAATAATAATCTTAAAGGGACAGTAAAATGTTCTCACGACTTCCTGTACCTCGACTAATATATTCTAAACGGACCAGTCGGGTGCGTTTGCAAAAAGGACATTAATTTTAACAGTGTATAATTTACCGGCTACACGAATTTATATTAAAGGCAGCTCCGGAAGAAAAAAAAAGCATGCTTTGCTATGTTGTACAATTTACAATGGAGGGGAACGCCTAATAAGTACACATGTTTGAAGGGCGGGCCACTATAGAATTTTGGTTACCTCAAGACTGAACTTTTCATTTTATTTACTTAAACTGCGTAAAATTGTGATTATTATTATTAGGCTCTTTTTATTATTATTATTATTAGGTCTATTATTTATATTTATGAATATTTTTTATTATTAATTATTAATAATATTATTATACATATTAATATTATATTAAATTGCGCAAAATTGTTATTATTAATATTATTATTATTAGGCCTATTATTCATATTCATATAATTATTAATCATATTATTAACATTATTATAAATATTAATATTATATTATTCATTTTAAATTATTTATTATCATTAATATTATTAACAGTGATTTGAAATATTAAAGATATAGAAAATACAAAGAAAATAAATATACAAATCGACCTGGTTATTTACATTCGAGTTATTGTATCTATAAATTTACATATGATTTATGATTCACCATATTGAATATTATTGTCAGAGGATATTTAGGATTTATACCATTAATAACTAAATAAATAAATTATTTACCGTCTTTGTTGGAATAAACGCCCCGGGGTACTGTAATTATTTCTTCGCGGTTTTCCTTTCAAATTATAAACTTAAACCACATTGGGCTATTGATAATGATAATAAAAAAAATCACAGCTCAGTATTGTTAAACCAATGGTTAAGTACTATAGGCCTACCGGCTGTTGTAAAGATGAGCAGGCTACTGGTATCATTATTATATTATCAAAATTAAATAATTTGGGCTATATAGCAGCAAAATTAAAAACAAAAGTAATGAATACACTTCCTAGGTCTACAAAATTTGTAACTCACGTTAAGCCCGTAGATTCACGACACGTTGCGGTTTTCATTGATCTTGCGCTCGTTGTACGTGCATCGGACTATACACGTGCCAAGCTCTTTCAACCCTGTAATGGTTATCGAGTTCTCGTTTGGACGCACTCTCCCAGAAGGCATTAAAGATCGACGACGTACGAGTAATGCGATGGAGAACTCAGTGGAGACGTAATGTCACACTCTATAGACCGTGCACACTCGCTTAATGCATTTCAATTCTACAATATTGTAAGATAACTATCATATTAGCCCATGTTGACCTACATCCTGGAGCTGAGGGGACGAATAATCATCAATCGGCCTCCTTTGAATTTGAATCTCTCAGCAATTTAATAATCAGGGTCACCGCCGCATAACAAACTCCGAATCATATGTTACGACATGGTTTGATTAATACATACCTTATCGAATGGCCCTTATAATGTCGTTTGAAAGAATTAAGACACAAGCGAGTAGAAACAACAATCGATTTTCCATGCTCTGAATAATCATGTATTTCACGAACAATCAGACGATATTTTTCGCGCGGGAAATAAATATATCGAATCGTCGATTCGACTACAGACCGATTGTCGTGCATGGATCATTAGGGTTGCTCAGTGAAAATTAATTTCCGCACATCGGTTGGTTAATGAAAAGTTTGATCGTCCAGCTGGGCTAGATTGGAAGCCTGTAAGGCGAATTCGGCTCACGCAACACAATTAACAATAAATTCTTCATGTCGTTTTCCGGATTTCATGATATTAGCCAATCAACGATCCGTTTAAAAATTGATTTGAAACAAATTGTGCAGTTAACCTTGGCGTGGTTGAGCATTGTGAATACTAATCACAATAAAGTATTAATGTTTGTTTGTCTTTAAGTACCGTTATTATAATTTGTTACGCGTGATTATCAGCATCATCATTTAACATAATTTTCATCTACATCGTTATCCTCAACATCATCATCATCGGCATCATTATTTCATCTACATCAATATCATCTACATCTTCATCATCATCCTTATTATTGTTATAATAGACCTTTCCGGAGTGTCAATCAAACTTAACAACTGACTAATCAGAACAACGCTAGGAATACGCACGCGTCTCACAAACACACGTGTTGTCCCACAAACGCACGTGTTTGCGTATGTTTTAACACTGTCGCCTTGTGGGACCTTAGCAACAATATCCAAGGGGCGGGGCTTAGCGGAATAAGAGACAGCCACCACCACCACCATTAGCATAATTAGTATTACAAAATAATTATTACAGAATAAAATGTTGCCACATTGAAAACGCTCTGTGAGTCGGTAAGTTGAGATAAGCATGGAGATAAGCGATCAAATTAAATAGGCCTACTTTGATCCAAATACGACGTTGACATGTCCCCAATCGTCTGCAACGAATCGAACGTCTTGCAGGGTGGATTACTATTTCAATTAATTGGCCATCACGCTCAATTTGGTAGCCCATCATCTTATGTCAACAATATCAATATCGCAGGTTAAAGGCGAACTAACCAATCGGTGATCAAAGTAATTCTCTGCAATAATTGTCTACTGTCTCAGACTGGTATGAATAACGCCAATCAAACACCAGCAACGGACATAACATGAGTGAGTTCAGAAAGAGTTCATGGTACGTGATGACGGCCACCATAATTAATGATGAGTAACTAAAGCGGTAGTCTCATACTGTATTCGAGCGTGTTGGAATTCCACACTCGCCACCCAATTAATGACTTTCGGCCATAATTCCCCAGACGGATTTTTTTTTTATTGCAGGACCCAGCCCAAGGCTGTAAATGGCCCATTGGTTCGGACCCCCCGTCGGAATTGTCAATCCCCCCCCTGTGGGAAAATGTCTGGCGCCACACCTGGTGTTATTCGAGAACGGTGCGTACAAGTTGTTTTATACGGTCAAAAAGTTTTCAAATCTCTAGTAAAATAGAGGGCGCTACTCACGAAAGCGATTACATTATTTTCAGTACCAAACACACACATACGCTTTATTGTACATCAGGTACCATGCAAGTAATCACTGGAAAGAGAAGTCATTCCATGCAACTATAAAGCAGTTATTTGAAACATCAGAAAAAAAGTCGCTAATACATTAACCTTGTTTCGTATGGATTAGAAATTTTCAATTGTAAATGAATGTGGTTTTAAACAGCAATCTTTCTTTTACAAGCAAGACGTTTGGGAGGTTACAGTACCAATCCAATCACAATTTTAACTTATAAGTTGCATTTTACAAAGTCTCAATGTGCCAATTTGAGGGAGTACGAAAGGAACAAGGGGAGAAAACAGTATACAAGGAGAAAAAAATATAACCAAAAGCAAGCGACAGAAAGGAAAGATTAAATAGAGCTGAAAATGTGTCTCGTTTTGGAAATCCACAGATGGAGATTCACGAACAGATTGTGGCTGGGGCAGATACAGAGGGGGTGCAGAGGGTGCGGTCGCAACCCCTTAAATTCTATTAAGATAAATAATTGTTGTATTGTATTGTTGTATTGTATTGTTGTAAGGTATGAGAGTGCAATTTCCGGGCACCTAGAGGCAGACGCGGATCCAGACCACTTCGCACCGTTCGCAAAAATAAAGTGATAGCAGTGCCTGGTAGTCTGGCGAATTCCAACTCTTTCTGTCAGAAATGCCACCTACCTCAACCAAAGACAAAAATATATAGACTAAATAAACTTTTTGCATTGTCTAAGTATTAATCAAAGAGGGACTGTAATTAAATCGGCTGCGCGATAACGTACAGTACACTGTTGAGTTCTTTTATTATTTTTATGATTTATGTCACAATGTATGGGTACTACAAAATCAATCACAGGGATGATAGGCTATACATGTGCATTGATTCTTATAACCTTATTGAAAAGTATATACAATTTTATTATATTTTGTTATTCCAAAATTACACCAATGCGAAAACATATTATTTTAATTATTACTTTTGATTAATGAATTATTATTTCATTATTTTAACGAATGCTGTTCGATAAAAAAAAAAAAAAAAAAAAAGCAAACCAAAAAAAAAAAAAAAAAAAAAAAACCAAACCAAAAAAAAAAAAAACAAAAAAACCCCCCCCAAAAAACGAGTCTTTAATGGAGTTGATAGCCTAATTGTAGACATACAGTACAAACACATTATACAGTACATCTAAAAAGAAAGTAAAAAATGACCACTTAGACTGAAAATGAACACAGAATCTGATAAGGTCCACATTTCCAAGACAGTCGAGAACGTACTGAATTTGTGATTTTCTGTGATTCAAAAATAAAATCTTAAATTTTAAAATTTTAACCAGTAGGCCTAATCTACTCAGTCTGTCGTGATTTGGAAAAACGCAATTTATTTAATTTTGAAATTTTGGCTTAGGGGCACTCTGTGGATGTAATCTATCATGAAACGTGATCATATACTCCAAACAATTTTTAAAAATATGAAATTATTATGAGAGTTACGCATTATATCCGAACGTTCAACCACTAAGCATTGAAATGTTGGCAATCAACCAATCACAGAAGATATTTATGCATATTTAATTACTTTTCCAGCTGGTGGCGGTACAATAAAAATGCATTATTATTTTTCCTGAAGTTACAGCTTAAAAGTTGTGGTCATAAGATTAATTTTACAACCGCATTATTTTTTTAAATTGGATTTAACATGTGTAAAATGATTTTGATAAACAATCAAAATTCTCTGTAGGCCTACTATCTATTAAACATTTCAAGAATGAACTTCCTTATGTTGTGGTCATATTAGACTAACATTTTTAAAGAAGACCATTCAACAAACAACTTAAAACTAAATGTTCACGTCGGTGCATGCATAAAACGTATAATTTCCTGAAATTTGGATATAGAGCGGACTTCCTTATAACTTAAGCCTAAGGAAACATAAATGTATATGGGTCTGAACCATTGTAGACGACAAAGTGTTCTTCCTAATATTAGAATATACCATCATTCTGGGATTTTTTTTTTTTTTTTCTAGATGCCCGGAAGTAAGCTCTTAGGCGTTTTGGGTGGTTAATAATTTCTTTTTTTTTTCTTTCTTTTTTTTTTTGACTTTCCAAAAGGGGGACCAGGCCCTAATTCCACTCCTGTATGTTTGTTTTTTTAAGCTACTGCCACATTTGGCATATCCTTGGCCCCTGTTATCATCGCTCTTGTTCTGCCTGCTAGACTGAGGATACATTCCTGATGATGACATAATTAATGTCGAAATATTGAATCCTGACACGATGGTATGCATTTTGATACTTGGAGTATGTATTATATCTCAGGATACACTGGTGCTTTAAGTACATGCATTTTATTTTAAATAACTAATTTAAATGATGCAATAAGCATTAGTGCCTATAACATTTAAAGGCTAAGTGCATAACTTATTTGAGAGTAGCACTTATTACAAATTATTGTAGTGATAAAATGGTACATCATGTAAGGCTGGGAATGTTCCCATAAGTCCCAGTAAAGAGACAAACTTCCTCCCCATTAAACTGGATAATAATAGAAAAATAGCTAATATAAATTGCAAATTATTATTATAATTATTATTGCAAAACATAGTACTGAAGTAATATGCTGATTGTTCCTACATGACCATAAGGGAACATCATAATGATATTAAAATACACTTGGCACCATCAAGTAAACCAGCCCTGTAACCAGGAAAGGGGTTACCCAAGGCACTGGTGGGTCCAGGGGCAGAGCTGCTGTTGAAATCTGGGGGAACAAAGCCCTCGAAGGCTGAAACATTGCAGCATGTAAATAGTAAATTATATCATGTTGATATTTTTTATATAAGTAGGGAATTGTTCGGTTTATCTGGAAGAAGGTCACTCAAACAGATAGTTTGGCTGGAAAATAAACCTTTCCCTGATTATGGGCCTGTGAACCAGATAAGCCTATCGTCACGTACATGACCCGTATGATATTCCTTAAATAGCGGTTCAACAGTTGCATTGAAGGAATAATTATTATCAACGACCACGTAAGGTTTACTTGCGCACTCTCCATCCGCAACATATGCGGGCAACTCAAGTTGGTTCAACCTGGTTGTGTAGTAGCCTTGCACAGCAAAGAACTTCTGAAATTTTAAGAAAATTTAATGTCAGTTAAAAACATTAAAGTATTGTATATTGGGTGGAATGATCTTGCATTGAGTTTTGCGATGTAATGAGTTTCATATGAACAGGCACCCAATTGTGTGCATTATGACCTGAGAACATGTGCTCAAGCCACCTGGTTTTTCTAACCAGCCTTGAAGACATAATTTGTATTATTGTGGAGTTACTAACCTCTGATTTTGAAAGACCATACAAGACAATATTAAACTCTGTCCAGAATATGCCCATATGTACTTACGATGTGCCTGTATATGGTCATGTTGTGATGTCATCATGACCATATTTAGGTATTTCACATGATGTTACAGAGACATAAATGAGTTTTAATGATGTGAATTGATCTAAATATTTCCTTTCATCTAAATATTTCCTAATAAAACTAATGCTGCATTGATTCAAGGGAGGATTTGCAAATGGAGTTCACATGTACTTTCATACACAGAGTATTGTCTAATTTTACACCAAGGTTACAGAGAGTGAGATGCCAGATTCAAAATAGTCTCCGGGAGGGACTTTCATGGATGCAGGGTCCAGACTACCTCAGCCCCAAAATCATTGGGACTGAGATAGAAAAGCTAATGGCTATGGTTATATGTCTCTCTTAAACTTAACTTGGAATGCAATTTTATTTTAAATTACCCAAATTTTTCTAAAATTAAAAATTTATGGTCCTTCATAAATCTGCCTGCTGCAGCGCATATTCTAGAGCGGTGCTTAGTGAAAAAAAATCATATTTGGTGCGGTGATTATTCAAGAGCGGTTCTTATCCGAGAGCAGCGCTTATTAGAGGATTTACGATACTCTTTGACATATTCCTACCTTTTCTGCATTATAAACATGAACAAGACTATCATACACAGGCCAATCAGGACTTGGAGTGAATACTGTTTGATTTACAGCATCTGAACTAAACTGTATGATACCCCACCTGAGCAGAAAAACATGAATCTACTATTAGAAATGAGAGCATAGCATAATAAATTATTAAAAATAATACTGATTATTTTTTTTCTCTCATATTCAACCATGAGCCACATTCAAAGCATCTTTTTTGATAATCATAAATTCAATCAATAATTCCAAGTTTTTTAAAAATTTCATTTTCATCTAACAGCGAGCGGCACAACACAAACAAAATCTTTGTAATGATCTTTATTGAAATTACACTTTCGTATCTGTAGCTTTTTTCTATCTTATCTATTATTCAACAAGAAATGCATTTTGGTATAACCAATTAATTCGAAATTAATTATTAGATTCTCAATACCAACAAATATATTGTGTTTCTGAATGAAAATTGTAGACAGAAAAGCTACTGATACAAAAGTGCATATTCAATACAGAATATTACAAAGCTTATTTTTAATGGAAATTCCCTCTTTGTTAGATGAAAACGATATTAAAATATCTTAGAATTCAATTAATTCTCATCTAACATGTGACTTGGCACAACTGTCTTTAATGAATATACACTTTTGTATCAGTGGCACATGCAATGGAACTTTTCAGAGTGTAAAGCAACCAATTACTGTCCAATCAGAATTAGCAAATAGGTGCAAGTTTACATACATTTATGTTGTCATTTTTTGGGCCACAGCAACAATATCCAAGGAGTGGGGCTTAGTGGAAAGAGAAATACAAAAATGAAATTGATGCTCTAAAAACCAAGTGTTTTTATGAAGCTTGGGACTAAAGTTTTTGTTTGTGATAGAAAAATTCTGTCACAGTATTTGGATCTACAGACCTGGGCAGGGCTGGAAAAAGTGTGCGACTGGGCGACCGGCAGTCGGAGACATCAGGAATTTCCCGGAGGCATTTTTTGGGAAAAAAAATTTAAAACATAAAATGTTGGGCTATAGGGACCTATAGTGTACAGGTAACATTTGGTGCTGGAGTCATTTTATCAGGACAATTTTCATGGTCGGAGGCACAAACATTTTTTTCCCAGGCCTGGAACTGGGATTGGAAGGCAAGCTTCTTAACTCTAGGAGACAGCTCCTCTCCTTCACTCATAGACATAAACAGACCAATATTCTTAAACTGATGCAAATGTTAAACTAGCTAAAGGACTACATTGGCGACCCAACCTCTATTTTTGGAGATGGTTTTCATTTTGATTAAAAATGTCAAACTGATTAAGAATATGTCAGCCCCTACTATAAGACAAGGCACGAGAGAAGCGGAGCATATTAATTTGAACTGAACTAATTCTGAGCAATTAAATAGATGGAATGAACATTTTTACATGGATACATTTAGGTAGCTTTCACTATTTACAGACATTTCACATATAATCTTGTTTGTATTTAATTCTAATTCAAAGCCGTACTTTCCTGGTGGTTTAATAAAAAGAACTGTACATGTAGTTTTTATACATCACAACAAATGATGGAGTGACTGTGGGCCATATCTGCATAGTTTGTGAAAAAAAAAAAACGTTTCTAGTATCAACACAAATTAAGTCACTTTTAAGGTGTCATCCTTTTAGACCGATTAACATTCAGTCTCATGCTCATTCAATTTATTTATAAACATTCACACATTTCCGTTGGATGCCCAAGAGTCATGGCCACAACTTTAAAATTGATGTCAATGTTCATACACTTGCAAAAGTAAGATCCAAAGATAATCTGGCTCACATTTTCTTATCTTCAAAGACACGCGTGTGAGGAGTTGGTGGGGAATTGGGAAAGCAAGGTCATTTATTGCAATGTAACTCACCGTTCAGGCAAATGCATATTAATGGCATGTTGGGGTGACCACACCCAATTATCTTCTGGCACACCAGGCACCTACCATACAAAGAATAAAGAAGATTATATTTTATCAACTAATTAGCCAATAACACAGTCAATCAATAATGAAAATACATACTATTAACATTATCAGTATGAAATTTACTAATGCTATAATAATTAATGTCAATATTAATAATATTATTATTAAATATTACTTATCACTAATAATAATAATTGTTAATAATAATGATGGCAGTGACAATGGCAATAATTTAATTATTATAACAATTATAATATCATAATAATAATTCCTAGGATGGTAATTATCATAAAAGTCTAAATAAATAAAACAAAAAGCACTAGAAACCTTTTCATAATGACCATTGACGTTTTTTACATGCCATTCAACCCTGAAAAATAAACGCATTTGAAAACGTTTTTGTAAAACAATCACCAAAACAGCTTGAAAAAATATTATTATTATCAACATAATTATACTGTCTCAAATATCATATTATAGAAGATGACAAATCAAAAGGCAATAGAACTACCACCACCACTAAAACCACTATCAAAAACAACACACCAACAACAATTTACCACTATCAGATGTAGCTTACCTGCTAAAATTAATTCGCCACTGGTCTCTATTTTTAGGCGGAGCTGTAACTTTAACATTTTCTCGAATCAAATCTGAGAAAGGCAGAGCCAATTCAACAGTCCAGTACTTATCTGCATTACATATACAGTATAAAAAAAAACTCAAATTAAAAATGAGTATGAAAAGTATTACAAAAAATAAGTAAATGTAATATTCAAAAAATTTGTATTAGCTTAGCATAGGCAGAAAAAAACTCACTTTTAACTTTGGGATCATTAATTGGGCCATCCACATAAATTGCAGTCTTCATTGACGGCATTTCAAAACTGTTGTTTGGTGTTCCTCCATTCATATATGGCTGCAATCAGAAATACAATAAACAAATTAATCAAAATTAAAAACAAAATTGTTATCCACAATTTTAGCATACAGTTACCAAAAGCAGACACACATTATAAAACTAAAAAAGGGAAATAATATATAAAAAACAACATTATGTTATGAAAATCACGGTAAGGCTTATCCACATAAAAAGGAAATTAATTTTCCATAGGTTAACTTAGATAAGGAGCAATGTTCACAATATATGTTAGAGGGCAGTGTACTAATATGCTCTGGAAAATCCACTTCAATTTAAAACCAAACTTTCAATAACATCATTATTAGTATCATGGGAATAGCTACAAATATGACATTATTATTATTACAATCCCTATACAAAATAATGGTGATATGTTCAATTAGTTCTTTCATCAAATTTCTATAGTGTTTTTTATATCTGAATCAATGAAAAAAGAATGAATAAATTAATAAATATATGAGTGATAGATAATTCTCATTATTGCAAGCCCACACCAGACCTACCAAGTCTCTTGCAATCGGCGCGAGATGCACACATTCATGGTCTGTCTTACACTCTCATGCTTCAGGACCAAAATCTCACACATAAATGCAATATTTGTATACTAAAAAATGTGAATACTATTTGCGACCTCTGTAGCTCACTAAAGAAAATTCTCCTGCTTTCACTGCAATGGTTTTTGCACTTGGGAGAGAAAACGAATTTAAAGCATGCGTTGATAGGCCGCAAAAAAAAAATTGCTCTCTTTTGTTAAAAAGGATCTATTTGACCTTGGTTTTTTTGTTACAAAATTTTAATGATTTAGTTTATCTTTACATTAAGAACGTCAGTTTTTCTTTAAATGCAGTAAAAAATCATTAATGAATTTGTTAATATACATAACATGCAGGAATTAAATAGAGATTGTACAATTTCTACAACTTTTGAATAATAAACATTCATCATCTACAGTAGTGAAAATAAGAATAGTTGTCACAAATTGGAAAATAAATAATGGCACTAAACTTGGGTTGAGTAACATCTTTCTGATGTTTGTCTTTCATTGTTCATTATTGTTATTCAATTTTTACATTTTTTAAATAATATCTAATCTTTAGTATAAATACATTTTAATGAGTGTTGGTAAAACTTTGAAAACCTCCCTTATAAGTTTACACATTGATCAGATCAAAGTTGCATTAACACTGTGAATATGTCGGGTAAGATCAAAAGAACACGTACACGCTGCCAGCTGCCTTGCACATGGCTCAGCTCGTGCCAGTGTGATCTAGGAAAAAAGTTTCCTGGGGGCATGCCTGGATTCACTAGGGAAGGAGTTTTCAGAACAAATCCCATGCCTGCAAATTTGTTGAATTGTAAATCTCTGCCACACCTTGAATTCACTGAATACCTGTATTATCGTAACTGAACACAAAAGGAAATATGAGCATAATAACTTCAATTAAAAGAGAGTGAAGGAACACACGACAGGCACCTGGAATGGTGTCGGGGACATTAGCCATCTTTTGCATAGATACGTGTATTGAGTTGTTTCATACACGATATATAATATATTCATAAAATGATAGTGTGATGGAGATATTTAAAAATTTATTAGCGGAAGAGCACTTTAATCAGTTGGGTAGTTTTCATTTTGATTCATACTGTAAATAGTTTTTCATCTGCCCTCCTATTTCATTTTGTTAGTCCTTTTTATTCCTTTTTTTTGCGATTGCTGATAAAGTAAATTTGAGATAGAGGTACAGAATCTTCTCATAGACACCTTATAAATAGCAGATTGATTGACTGATTGAAATATAATTATGATACAATAATTATCATTATTATTATCAATATAAAGAAAATTGTATATCAAGAATGAAGATATACTCAATGAGATATTAATGCCTTTTGTAGTTTTTAAAATTTATATATTGAATAAATTTTTTTAAATTTATAAATTGAATAAATAAATAAATAAATAAATAAAAGAATAAATGATAGCTCACTTGTATATCAGGCTTCAGGGAGTGAAGCTGTATTAGTTTACAAGACAAAAACTCTACAACTTCAAAGGACTAGAACCCAGAAGCATAGTATTGGAAGAAAATCATTACAGCTAGCAAAATACAGCTCAATATGAATAAGTATAAATGGCGGCTGAATTCAAAAGGAAATATGAGCATAAAAGCTCTATTAACAGAGCCTGAGAGATCAGAGGAAGAGCACCTGCAAAGTGTCAGGGTACATTAACTGTCTTTGTATTGGTAGGTTTATTGAGCTCTTTCTAGCTGATATATATTTCATTGCTTAAAGCGACAGTTACAACACGACATTAGTGAGCCTGCATTTTACCTTCTATGCATTCTTAAATGTAACCATCCTAAAAACGTTACCGTATATTCTTGTGTGTAAGACGATCTGCATATAAGACGACTCCCAAGTTTGAAAACGATTCTTGGGCGATTTTTGTAGGTTGGGCATATAACATGACCTCCCTTGGGCTACTGTAATTCTTCAATCACTGTTACCAGTTTAGTAGCTTCATTTCAGTAGTAAATTTTTTTTTATTGTGGACAATCTGCACATAAGACGAATATGATTTGAATTTAAAATTTGTATATGTGTTGCACGTATAAAATGAACCCCTGTTTTTGCGATCGTAATTATATATTTAAAGCCTGTCTTATACGTGAGAATATACAGTAATCTTATATTGGTTGTGATATACTAATGGGAATTGGTGGGTAGAAGATATACATTCCGAAGAAGCTAGGCTGTTTTGAGAGGGCATCTGACAAATACCTTGACCTAACCCTAGTGGCACTGGGGGTCAAGCCACCTGAAGCCCAGACAAACAGAAAATTTTAGCTATTTCAACCTGTTATAATGATGCTTTAGAACATATTATGAACACAAACAAAACACCAGAGAAATAAAAATATTCATCTTAAGTTTAAATTAATTTTCTTTTAAATATACAACTAAATCTACATACACGCAAGACTTTAAACTTCGTGTACAAATTTATACAGTATTATGACAATAAAATCAATCAGAATCTGAATGTATCTTAAAACGTGTATATCTTTATTGACATATATGCATCATTATAATAGAAAATAAAACTTAAATATTTTTCATAAATAAATCTTAACAAGGATTTGTAGGTTATACAAAACATGAACAATAGTTTACTTCCTCTATTTCAGTTTTGTTTTTGGTTTTAAGCAATAAACACACTTTCTACTGCTTTTAATTTTTATTCAAACTGTGTGATAATGAATAAAACAAACCAAAATTCACAGGTATGGAAGGCCCTATAAAATAGGCAAGGAACTAATTAAGTGTTCTATTGGTGTGTAACCCAATGACTGGGGAAATAATAATAATATATAAAAGTGCAGAGGTTATTGGCATCATGTACTATGTGACTTGATGTATTGTTTTGCCTGCTGCTGTCGCAGTCGCTTTTGGTGTTGCAGTCACTATCAGAACATGGACCTATTAGACGCTGTTGTGGCCATTTTTGCTATAACTATCAATATCATTTTCGTTTTAACAGGTGGTGTTATACAAGTACTGCTCAATTATTTACTATTATTAGTATCACTATGTGAACTCACCTTGCTAAGTTCTAGATCCCATGTTGTGTTGATGGCATTAATCTCAAATTCTTTGTACCTTTAAAGCCAAAAACATAACGAAACATTACTGAAAAAATTATTATTGTACAAAAGAGAATATAAATAAATCCATAATTAAATCAGCTCAAGTATTAAGATAAAAGACTATAATAAACCCAATAAAAAAAAACCCCAATAGACAAATTAATTATTGTGTACCATCCTAAAATTTAGAAAGAATGCTAGTTTGAGAATGGATATGATGCTTGCCTTCCAATCCCATGGTCCTGTGTTCAATTAAAGGTTAGAGGTTATTCATTTATATTGCACAAAATACAAGAGTCTCTATGCGCAGAACAAGTGAGCAGATGGAAAATAAAAAAGAAAATCCAAGCTAGGACCCAAACTGCAGTATGGGGATACGCCCTCATTGCTGAGCAGGGATCTATCAAAATGTACCCTGTCCAGCCCCAGTAATTCCTTACGTTAACATCCTGCAAAGGACATCATAATCCGTACCATTCGACTCGCCTACCAAGGTATAGGATTTTTTCTAATGACAAAACTAGACTCATAAAAGAAATTCATTTATAAGGCATCTTGTGTGCATGTTTGTCTTGTATATAACCATCATTCTATCCTATGATTGGAAATTTTACTTGTTGTTGGATATACATAAAGTAATAAAAATAAGTTGAATTAAAAAACCACATTATTATGCTTTATCACCAACACAATAAGTTAATTTATAAGGAAAAAAATTAAATGGGAATGCCAATAATAATCGAGCTGTATATTAAAATTATTATGGTGAGTCTTTATTTATTTATACGTACTGAGTGCTTCAGGATGACAAAAGAAGAAAAAAATAATATAAAAACAGATCTCATAATGAAATATAATATATTCTGGTGAACTTCTATTGTTTGATGTGTAAGAGCATAAAAGTGCAATATACAGAAGATAAAATATGTACAGTACAAACACACAATAGTTCTTATCAGCACTACCCTGTCAACGACGGCCATGTCTTCAAAAGAATTAAATACAATAATCTGAAACAAGCAGGTGACAACCACTTGAGCTGATTATAAATCAATAATAAATGATGAATATATTACTTATAAATTTAATTATTTAATTAATAATCAATTCAATTCCACTAAAAATATATTGTTTAAATTTAACAAGGATTAAGCAGAACTGCTATCATAAAAAAAATCTCAGGAAATTATGTTTAGATTATTCCCATATCCCAATTTCACAGAGCATTTGGTAGGGTATTTTTTTACACTGACTTGTGCAACCAAAAAAGTGTTATCTTCTTTTCTTTGTATGAAATTGAGAGATACAATATTTCAAGTTGATTCTAAAAATTAAATGTATTCATTGGAACTTCTTTTTTAAAACAGAGGCACTGTGTATTAAGAGAGACAGGAATGATCACAGGGATGATGAAAGGAAGAATGATGAGTATGACGATGAGAATAATCAAGGAAGTTAATGAGGATGCGACAACACAAAAATGTTATGGGCAAGGGTGAAGGATAGAGCAAAGGTAAGAACATGCCTGAGGAGTATAACAACGGCTGTTTTCAACTGGTCATTCTTCATTTAACCATGCATGCCTGCACAGCGGTGAAATCATACTTAACGAAGACGACCAGACAAATAGAAAACTGACAAATGCTCAACAAAACAAAATGGCTGAGTAGTTACCGCGATACATGATAGCGTAATCAAGGTTACTTCCGCTTGTGGCAGCATGGGCTTTTTGTAAAAAAATGTTTTCATGCAGTTTTTGAATTCTGTTAGCATACAATTGTTTTGTTACTTTATGTGGATAAATATTATAATTATTATTTTCTGAAATTTAATCTAAATTATGTTAACGCAAATTTTGTTGCTAAACTGACCAATCAGCCATGTTTGTTTTGGTCATGTGGATAACTTTATTGAAAATTAATGCACTCTGGTTTACGTTAATTTCTTTTGTCAATGAAGTCGATTTTACGAAGCAGCTGAATGAAAATAATACACGAAAAATCGTGAACCAGTCGAATACAGCCAATGATGAAGGCGCCAATGTATCTTTGAGTTTGATAATGCTGCTTTGAGATCCTTAGCCTATTTTTATTTTATATAAATATTTCTGCTTAACCCTTTCACTGCTGGGTCATTTTAGGAAGAAGGTTATTTTTAAATAAATGCCAAAAAAAAAGACTAAAAGAGGTTATTTTGAAATTGTTTTTGTGTGTTGGGGTGGGGAAAAGTTTGGTCTATGGGAAAAAATTGAAATTGGAATTTTTAATTAGGTGGCATTGTGACCTTGGAGTGCCCATATTGGAAATGCCTATTTTCATAAATCTGTAAAAAAAGATAGAAATTCTTATGGGATGGTGTTTTTTTTTTCACTGGATAATGGTGAAGATACATAAAATGAATAAAAAAAAAATCAATAGTTTGAATTACTTTCTTCATTCCATTCTAAAACAGACAAAAATCCATGTTTGTCGGCAGAATCGTGAAAAAGAAATTCAAAAAAATCGCTGCAAGATGAGTTTTTCGCAACAATTAGTCATTACTCCATATAATTCAGTAGAAATCACCTCCAGTTCATAGAAACAACTACAGAGGGCGCTGCAGTACAGGAACAATTTTAAAAAGAATTATTTTCATGCCCCCCGGAGTACCGGGGCACGCAGCAAAAGGGTTAATATCTTAATGCCACTTCAAAGCTAGTTAAATGCACCGTCTCTGTATATTAAATGACTAATGATACATTTATAATTTGATTGACGTGCATGACGTATATAAATATACATACCAATGTGTGCTCCAGTCTGGGTTTATAAACACCTGAAAAACAAATAAATATATACTTTCTGTAGAGTAACAATCTATAGTATTAATAACATAAAATGTAATTGACTAGTACTAGTTGATCATTTCTTCTCTCTTTAGTAATATTTAACCAGGATGACCCACTTGGCATTGCTTATTTTTGGGGAAGTCCCCTTACAAATAAGCTTACAAAAATCAAATATCCAATTTCATATTACTATTGTTGCGCAGCTCTGCTGCTACTAGTGTTGTTAATGTTAATTATAATAATATACTATTATAATTATCTGTATCTTTATATAACTCCACTTTACCTCAATGTGGTGTAAGGAACAGATCATCACACCAGAGAACCAGAAGCCAAAATTGTTATTATTATTATTATTATTATTATTATTATTATTATTATTACTATACTATTATAATTATCTGTATCTGAATCTGTATGGATAACTGCACTGGACCTCAATATTGATGAGTAAAGCATGCATGCACAGATGGTATTGCGAATGTGGTGTAAGGAACAGATCATCACACCAGAGAGCCAGAAGCCAAAATTGTTATATTATTATTGTTATTATTATTATTATTATTATTACAATTATTATTATTATTCATGTAGATGTTTACCATTAGAAATATATGATAAATCTTTTTTGTATATTTACCTCAAAGTCATTATCTTTGAAAACTGGAAGGAAAAAAATCGCATAGCTAAGTGTTTGAATAGTAAAATAAAGTACAATGAAAAAAATATAGATCTATAAGTTGGTTGTACCACAGTTAGACGGAATCCTTACTTCCTTGAAAAACTCTCCCACCCCAACACTTTCTTCTATCATATTTACAAAAAGCAAAATTTGAACACTAGGGGCCTACAGTATAGTGTCTTTTGGAGCATAAATTTAATTTTAAACAATTAAAATGAATATAAAGTATCAATACAAAAAAAAAAGGTCAAAATCATATGATCATATTGTATGTCAAAGTTGTCTAATGGTATTACATTGTTTAAAATTCTGGTGAATGGAAACTTCTACCCAATAATTATCCAATCTGCTCCTCAATTCCCATCAAATAGACATGATACGGAATTGTCAATAGCTGATTTCAAAATGTTAATGTAACAGCCCTGTCTAAAATAGGGATTGAAGAGTATTAAGTACTAACCGATAGTTTCGTAATGTTTTTGTTGGTGGTTTTGGTTGTGTTAACCTCTTTAAAAAGGCAACTTAATGAGTTATATGTACTGTTTTAAGTACTGTATGTCAATATGTTTATACAGTATAGTATCGAATAAAGTCAATCAAACAATTTACTAATTACGCATTTATTTAAAATTGCAAGTATATTAATGGCTTTTAGATGCTTGTAAATCTTGTGTTGATATCAAGTGAATGGCATCTCTAAGATTTTCAATTACAGGAAACACAACACAAAATATAAGAACTATTATTAAAAACACACCAAGAGTATTATAGCCATATCAACTAATGGTTGAACTGCAAAGTATATTTACCAAATTTTAAACATGAATTGACCATAAAAGTAGCAAAAATATAAGGATTTGTGTCATACCAACTGAATTATGCATAGTCTGGTTTGCAAACACATCTGTTTCTTCAAGAAATGCCCCGATGTACAAGAATCGGTCATCCCATCGCAACTTAGCCCAGGTTTGGAAACGGGGCTTTGGAAATGTGTCTCCTTGGATGTCTGAAATACAATAGATTGAGTTTTTAGCATTATAATTCTCATATAAACAGGCCCGTAACTAGGATTTTTTTTTTGGGGGGGGGGTTCAAATTTGGAAAAAGTGGAGCCTTTTGAAGATGTTACGACCAACCAATTGTGCTGACCACATAAATAAGAGTTCCATCTTGAAACTTGTATTAAAAGTTGCTTTGAAGTTTAAGCAATCTTCTTTCGAGATTTTTTTTTTTAGCCATCCAAGCAGAGCCAGCTAGCAAACAGCAGGGTTCGTCCGAACCCCCTCTGGTTACAGGCATGATAAATATCACTAACTTCTAACTAAATATAATAATTTGTGTGTAAGATTATATAGAATTTCTATTTTAATTTGATCACAATGATTGTTGTTATAAGAAGAAATTAAATAAAAAAGCCTACAACTATAATAAAGACTGCTTTTTTTTATTGATTCAAAATAACATTTAAGAAGTTAGAACTAAATTTGTTTACAACCCTAGAAAAAGGTAAGCTGATAATGGGCCTCTTAAATAAATGAACTAATTTGGTGCTTTAAAAACCAAGTCTAATTAGAATGTGTGGTGAGTGCTTTTGTTTGTAACCATGAGAAACAATCCTTGTTATCACAAGATTTGAACCAACACCCTAGGATCAGGGGTGACACCAGTGGGTAGGCCATCAGAAAGGCCTGGGCTCAGCTGATGCAGGGATGGTGGGGGTATGGTAGGTGTGGACTCTGGCCCATCTGTTAGGGAACGATGGACCACCTGTCAGGGAAAGGCTGGTGCCACCCCTGCCCAGGACTGGAAGGAGAGCATCCTACAGTATTAACCACCGAGCCAATCTCCATGGTGCTAAAAATATTTTTCACAAGGTCAAAACTTCTAGGGCAGTATTCACATACACATATACCTTCGTATGTTTTAACACTGTCATTTTTTAAAAGTATCAATTAAAATTTATTCCAAATTCAAACACTAAATGAAATATGAATATCAAGTAACATGGTTCTGTAGGACCGTAGCAACAACATCCCAAGGGGCAGGGCTTAGCGGTAAAATCCAATACAGTACAAAAAAAACAACAAAAGCAGTGAGACTAATTAAAATTTGCATACTTATAAATGTCTGCGAATTACCAGAAAACAACGGTCATATTCGACTGGTCGTTCTTCCTTTAACCACGCCAACCCGCGCAGTGGTAGAATCCTACTTAACGAAGATGACCAGTCGAATAGAAAACTGGTAAATATTCGACACAACAAAATGGCTGCATAGTTACCGCGATATATATGCTGCGTAATTAAAATTGCTTCAGATTGTAGCAGTATGGATTTTTTTGTAAAAAAATGCTTTCATCCAGTTTTTTAATTCTGTTAGCTTACAATTATTTTTTTGACTTCATGTATGTAGATATTAAAATTTTTATTTTCTGAAATTTAATCTAAATTATATTAACGCAAATGTTGTTTCTAAACTGACCAATCGGCCATGTCTGTTTTGGTCACATGGATAACTTACCGCTGATTAACACACTCTGGTTTACGTTAATTTTCATTGTCAACAAAGTCTATTTTACATACCAGTCAAATGAAAATAAGTCAACAAAAAATCGTAGTCAAGAAAATGAACCAGTCGAATACGCCCATTTTGTTGCCTAATCACACGACAGGAATCCAAAAATCAAAGTTGGATAGCAAGATTTATAAGAATTTAATTTTTTTTTTTTTTAACTTTTTAACTAAAGGCTTATTTTAATTCTAGGGTGGACTGTCAACTATTATCTCATCCGGTAGAAACTTTTTAAGAAAAATTTACATCATAGATCCCAACAATAATACAAGCTTCTTTAGTTCGTACTTTAAATATTTGGAACAGCTAGAAATCTTGAGAAAGCAGTTCATGCCCATAAAAGGTAGCAGACACCAATGTTCTATAATAATAACCAAAGCCCCGTAGCTATTTTACATTAGTGGCAATGAAAATAATGTGGAAGATACTGTTCAAAACATTCTACGGCCTTGTAATACAAATTACGGGACATGTAATATCAATTTGTTTGTAGATGTGTTGTTAAAAGATGTATATTCCCACATTCAAGGCTGAAACTAATTTAGGATTATGTATTATGAAATTCTTTAGCCGTCAACATAATCTAAACTAATTTTTTAGATCAGAAATTGATCATTCAATAATATAATAACAACCTTATTTTTAAAAGGAAAAAAAAGCTTTTATCAAGGCCGGTTTGACAGTGTAGAGTAAATACGTATCATGCATTCGAAAATGAAATAGTATAGAAAAACATGATAAAATAAAAATTGTATCTAGAATCATTAATTTCTTTTGATAAAATTTAGAAAAAAAATTATATACAAAAAATTTGATTATCATACCAATGGACTGCACATTTAAATGCAGGGGCATAGGCTGGGTTTGGCATGGGGAGGAGTGCCAAAAATTAAGTACTCTGTTTTTCCTGATCATTGGTTCTACATGCTTATGTGTTACTGACATATTGGCGCAATAGCAGGCAACCTGTACCCCATTTATACTCCTGGGTGGAAAAAATAATACAAAAAAAAAAGTTTAATTTGATTTTATCAAGTTCAGGCCCGTAACCAGGTTCACAGGAAGGGGGGATTTCTATAAGCCAAGTTTAACTCAGAAGTGTTTCTTTAATAAATTAAAGTGATTATAAATACTGTACTACAGTAGTAAACTGCTCAAAAAGGGTAGGGGATCAGCTGAACCCCAAAACCCACCTGGTTACTGGCTTGATGTTACTAAGTAAAATAAACTAATTCTCAGGGGCGGATCCAGGGACGTCCGAAAAGGGGGGCCCCTCCCCTTTTGAGACAACACTACTGTAGGGGGAGAAATGACGCCCGAAAATAACCTCTCAGGCGTTTTGAGCAATCAATTATTTCTTTTTCCTTCCTTCTTTTTTTTAATACTTTTTTTTTAAATTTTCCAAAAGGGGAAAAAAAAACGCCCTTCATTATTTGAGTAGTAATTTTGAAAAAATGAGTTAATAAATTCAGGATGACAAACACAATTTGATCCAGTAATATTAATAATTAGTTTGCCTTAATCCATTTAACACAGAGTTTACACAACAGAAAAGCCTGATTGCCATAATACATGATTACATTTAGTCCGTCCACGACTAATGCAAAGAAGAATCCATCAATATTTCATTACCTGTGAGAGGAAGAACAAACAGGTGGGGTAAAAGATTGAACAAAAAGCTATGTGTGTTTACCCGAGAACAAAATCAAATACTAAAAGGAGATGATTATACAAACACTACATATTGAATGTAAGGGGATAAAATTACCATTATCACTAATATTAAGCATAATCCTGATTCTGAACATTCAGAATTTAAGTACTGAATCCCAATGGTTTTATGTGCTCAAATGAAGGCTTTCAGATACATTTTTATGCTTCTTTTTTTACCACTAAAATCAATGATTATACAAATTTAAGTTTATTCTGTCAGGTGAAATATAATCTCAGTGACAGTTAAAAATCATACACTAAAATATCGCAGGAAACCAACATATTTCAGTAGCAAAGAACATGTTTCTAATGTGAAAAATTTTATAGTTTTTTTTACCATTTTACTTGTTCTAAAGGTAAAGGAAGGGCAGAACCTTGGAGCATCACTAAGCTGAACTGCACATGGCCCATAACTACTGTAACAACCATAGAGGATCTCAGTAGCATTGTTTTCACATCGACATTTGCAGAAGTCAACCAAAGCACTGGGATACCACCCCTATTCTTCTTGATAATGGGAGGTGAGAAGGCACAAGCGGGGAGGGGTGGTTTTGGGAGGGGCATTTCCTCACAATTGAGATTTTTTTAAAATTAGTAGACTGCTAGTAAGCTTAAATTCGAAAGTGTATGTTTTACCAGAGTACACGAGGACCACACAAACAAGACGAATGACCATCGTTTTATTTTTCACGGTAAACGAAGGGGGATGGCTAGCCACCCTATTCACCCCCTAGATTCGCCACTGAAGGCCATACAGCACCTATTACAGGCGTCCCATCCTTACTGCTAGTCCAATCGATTTGCCTACAGTAGTGCCGCAACAATAGTTGCTCTCTTTAAAATTTATGAAAACTTTTTAAAATTATTATTTTATATACCGTACTTGATCATTTCAGAGTTATGGAAAGCAACACCAATAATAAAACCAACTGGAGCAAAAAAGAGATAAATAAATTCACAATCATGATTTTGCTTAAAACCGAGGCCAAGTTCAGTTAAACTAAAAATGGTGAATTACAGACTATCGGGCCTGGGACAATCAGGCCCATTTTCAGGACGACGTCTGGATATGGATCTGATTGTCCTGGGCCCGATCTGTAGGCAAAATCATTTCAGCCAATGGCTGTCATTTGAATTAATGTTGATGTTTGCTATACCAAAATCAATAAATAATTAATAGGCCTAGACTTAAACATCATTCTTAATATCTGTATGTTAAATAAAATTAGAATGCAAAAATTAATCAGAATGAAGGTGGGCCCAACAGTCCACACTAGTGGACCCGACCGTCTAGGTGTGGGCCCGATCTTCCACGCCTGTTGCGTTGACCCCGATCGTCTGTCACCCAAACCAACAAGATAGGCCAACTAGCCTAGTACCAGGGCTTTCCTTCGCCCTTTTACTAGGCCTAATCCTAGCCTAGATTTACTGCTACATAGCCTGCACTAGCTATGCAATATAAGCTATAGTTAGGCCAATAACTATATCAAATTAACGGTCCTAGACTAGCCTAGGCCGGGCTGTCTAGAAAGCCCTGCTGACTTTATTTAGGGCCTTCTATCCTAGGCCAACTAAATTGTTGGGTACGCACCAACGAAATCTTCTGTACGGGCAGTTTCGCCCCACACGTCTTCATTCAGTTTACCATCAATTGAGATTTTCTGGCTAGCTTGCAGTTTATAAACAACGTAAGATTTTGGTTTAGGTAATTTCTTACAAACAGTATCATTTTTGGAATAGTTTACATTACAAAGTACATACGTTTCATGTTCGACTAACAATAACAAAAACAACCAAAATATAAAAGCAAATCGTAGGAACAGAGGAGGCCCCATGACCTCCTGTTTTTAAAAACCCCTCTCTTGGTTGGATTAGTTTCAGTGTATTCGATTAAAGTTTTGCGAGCAAGCAAGAATTTAGATTTACAAATCCAAGGAAAAAGTGCGATGCTGTCCGAACTTTTTCAACACATTTTTAAATTTTTAATAGCAACTAGCATTAAGGTAGTAAATTTACTATATTATTATTTGGAAGAATCATCAGGGGAATCATCCAAGTTTCAAAAATTGCACTATTACAAGTTAGGCTTACCAATCGAACACAGAAAGACAATCTACACTTTTGTGTTTCTTTAATGGCTTTAAAATTTTATATTTTAACTGTTTATTCTGTATATTTAAATAAATCGTTAGATTTAAGTCGAAAATTAGAATAAAACAAATATTTTGTCAATCAGCTGACGCATATCCTACTAATAGACCCGGTTTCATTTTTTTGGCTGGTGGTAGGCCTACATTGACGGTTTAAAATGTTCATAACTGATAAAAAGTTTGTTACTCAAACACTTATTGATCTGTGATTGAAAGTAGATGCCTTATTGATGCATTAAGAGAGTTATTCAGTGTTAAAATTACATTGTTTAATGTAAATTCTATTTCTAAATAATAATAGGCTATATTGTACAGTCTTGAGTTCGAATGTTAAAAATTCAACATGCCCAAAAAAATCCAAACAAATCTGTATCCATATTAAGTAATACCACGACTATAAATATGAACTGCACACATCAGAAATTGTCGTGTGATCTCTATTTAAGAAAGTATGATTAAAATCTTTAAAAAAATTCTTTCAAAATGACACCAGTGGTAATGACGTCATAAGGTGTTCGATGACGCCTGAAAAATTGTGATTCACTTCGGAATCACAATGTTTATTGTCAAATCAGACTGGATGACTAATAGGTCCCTATACACTAGATCATGGACGTCATTATATTGTATTTATGACTGAAAGAATTCAGATTCATTTGATATGCCATAGTACCAGGTAGCGACTCAGTTAAGTTTCACATTGTTACATAGGGGTTCCTTCTTCCACTTGAAAAAATAGGTTTTCATTCTAAAAGCGCAAGAATATAAGCTTACATATTTTTTATTTATTCAAACACCCAACAGTGTTAAGAAACACCAATAATCAGGTTTCAATAAATATAAGACAAGGAGCTAATAAAATCAGATCGACAGTGACAGTGTAACTTAGTTACATTGAAAGATTAGGCCTCGACATACAGTATGATTTGTTTGTTAGTTCATTTCCTCTTTTATAGTGTGTCTTTTAAAGTGTATTTTGAAATCTAAAATAAAAGAGCAAAATCTTCCCAATCGTGGTCAAATGTAGAGGCTACTTAGCATATATATAGACTTTAATAAAATATCTTAGACAGGTATACTAAAGACATTTTGTTAGGTGATAAATTGAAATGTCCCCGAAACGTTAGTGTCTCCACTCAACAATTGTCATACTATATCAGAGCTAGCTGTGATGTGTATTCAAGACACAGAATACCGTCTTAATCTATTCAGAGCCAAATTAATTGATACATCAAACATTTTTGGCATGGAGAATAATTAATTATTATTAATTAATCATTGCTTTCCAAACCTAGAAGCGCGTAATTATTTTGCGAAGTTGAATTTATAAAATTGGAAGCACTTCCATAAAATAAATACTAAAGTTAGTTTTTGAGAAAACATATTATTCTAACCGAGATTCAAACCTTCACTTATACCATCCTCGTGAATCTGATGTTATATTAAATATCAAGGGTTGCGCCAGAGGGAAGGGAATCGGGGAGGTTCCTCGAGCAAAGCGGTGGCGCCAGCGAGGGGGAGGGGGGCAGGGTGGGCATTCCCCTTCCGTCGGACAGGCCTGGACTCCCTGTCGGCCGAGGCTTCGTCGGCCCCTAGTCTAGGACCCCTCACGTCCACCCCTTAAATTTATGGTGCCACCGCTGCAGTCTTGGGGAAAGAAAGACACAATTCGTCGTGGAGAAAAAATTAATATGTATTTTAAACATATTTGTAGTTTCTGAAATCGGAAATAAGCCTTTAAAACTCCTAAATTGTCAAAGTTTCCGGGACCACTTCAGAGAGATTTTGAGCGACGCCTTACCACGCCCATTTACACTCACGTCGGGGACATCGCCGCCTCCACCCACTCCCCGTGACGTGATATTGGACCCCCGTCTGGCAAATCCTGACGCAACCCTGATAAATGTTCAAGTAATCAAGCAATGCCTACATTATTTGGTACACACACACACACACACAAAATCGATCAGTAATTATGTAAAGATGAAATACAGTATATATATATATTAAAGAGAAATGTAGGGCTGTTGTTTTTACAGTTATTTTAACCTAAGAAACCTCCTTTGACAACCGTAATAGATTTGAGTCTATAACATAAAGTTGTTTGGAACGAATCAACATCTCTGTAACAGTACAGTGATATGAATTTTATATTTTGAGGTAAATTTTCCCCATCATCAAAATTTGAACCCGAAAAATACTGCGATTCCCTTTTCTTAGATATAGGTACTGAAATAAATCAAACACCTTGATGGAGCAGATATACAAGCTTTTTGGCAATTCAATGGAACATTTTTATATGGTGCAAAGGCCTGGAGAATGAACTCCTAATTAAAGTTAGAATAAACTGATAACTTTTTAAAAATCCGTAATATTCATATTTTTTCCATTGCAATGTTTTGTTCTCTTGCCTTGACCCAGATTAAACTGGTTCTTTTCTTTTATATATACGTTTGTATATACGTATAATATACGGTACATTTTTCTTTATTATTACTGTTATGTATTTCCGATATGCATCTTTGTTATGTTTTCGTTGCGATTCAATTGTGAAATCAGTGCTGTGTGGAATTACTTTATTCACAAGAAAATAAAAGGTAGGACTAGGTGACGAGCATCTCAACCACCATGCTACAGATTCACCTAGTAGATGCTGTCAATATTTGTCGTAATAAGAATGTTTTTGCCCTACCTGATGTGTTATCGTATTGAGAGCTCAGTAGACCACAGAGCTGGCGCTTAGTGGCTAGAGTTGAATCAGACTTCCAAGTAGCAGTTAAGTACTGCAATGCTATTCCGATGTTTTGCTTTAGAAGATTAGTAATTGGAATGATGATTTTGCCCTACCTGATGTGTTAACGTACTGATTGCTCAGTATGTTCCCATATTCTTGCAACAAAAATCTTTAAAGTGATTCCAGTGGGAATCGAACTCACGACATCCAGACAACTAGCCTGGTGTCTTTGGGAATGTACTCAATCCTATTACTTATCTTCTGAAGCAAAACACCATCGGAATATTTGTTGCATTACACTTGTTGGTGGAAAAACTGAATTTGCATTTGTATATCTTATCACCGACAATTGTATGTTTTTGTATTTTGTATTAAATTGATGAAATACAGTAGAACCTCTCATTTGGGACAACCATAAGGAGACACTTTTTGGTCTGTGAAGGGAGTAGAAAATATCTGTTAATACTACGGCCAACTGCTGTTAATAAGACACAACTATTATAAGGGGGACCTTTTTTGGTCTCGAAAGTTGTTCCCTTAATAATGGTTCTACTGTAATTGAAATGATTTGAATTGTGACAAATTAATGTAATATGATAAATTAAAAGATGGGCATGTGCAAGTCACATCAGGTGACAGACAGCAATGATTATGGTGATGACAACAATGATCTTCATCAAAAAGACAAACGATAAAATTAATAAATTTAAATTTTTCATTTTAATTTTCATCAAATACTGTGTATTCACCTTAAAATGGTACACTTGGAATGGGCATTGATTGTGTTTTGCTACAATCACTTTATATCAAAGAATAACGCTGAAATATTATTCCTAGATGAGGAATTGGAACAGATTGTATTTCACTTCATATTGTTTTGGTGAATGATGCCTAGAAGATTAAATTGAGATGAACACCAAGAAGAAAATGTAATAAAACTTATCACAGAAATTAATGTCTGTTTAGCTAACCTATTTTCAATATAATACATCAGCCTTCAGCCTCGCTATTAACACTTGAGATTCATCTAATTACAGCCACGTTCACAGACTTTGATAAACATGATTATTTCACATGTACTGTATTTATCTGTGCGCTCATGGAGACGGCAACGAAAGCTTTTTCCAAATTATCAAATTTTTCGTTGAGAAAAAATGTTGTATGCCAAAATATAGTAATGATGTGATGTTAACATGACCATATTTAGGCATGTCATATGTTTCTGTCAAATGAAATTCAACAAGTGTGAACAGGACTTTAGATTAAATAACTCATTTGCGTGTATTTTCTGGGATACTTTCAAGCTTTGATTCATCAACATTTTCAAAGATGTACTGTCTACCAAAATTTATAAGAAATTTTAAGTTAAAAAATCAATTTTAGTTGCTACCAAAAACTCTTCTTACTTCATTTATTATGTATTCTGTATTTATAAAAGATAGGCATTAATCAATGTGCATTAATTATAATGCAGTGCATGAAAAGTAAACATCCTGAGGTACAGTATATATTGCCGTGATGCAGCCTCATTTATATGCGCTGAATCACATGTTATATCATATTATCTTCACATGATCATCACATGATAGATCACATAGAATCACATGGTCATCACATGATCATCACCTTGCATCATATGATATTCACATGACTGCCACATGACTATTTCACATTACATGATCATCACATGACTATCATGTGATTTCCACACAGGACTATCATGTGATTGCCACACACAACTACCATGTGATTCCCACACATGACTACCATGTAATTTCCACACGACTACTATGTGATTTCCACACATGACTATCATGTAATACTTTCCACACCCATTCTATAATAATCACATGACCATCACATCACATGGAACAACAACTTTCATGTCACATTTGATTTCTGGTAAATTTATTTAATGCCCATCAAAATGCAGACAGTACACCTTCCAATAATGAGACTAAAAATTTAACATAATTCTATTGCCTTTATAATGTTGGCAATTTGTAGAAATAATTTGCATAAAATTTATGTTGGTGAATCAATAGTGAGTGTATCCAGACCTTACAAAATGAGTGTTTTTTCCCTTCATAATACTCCAAACAATTACTTTGAAGAGGTATTTTTATCTGCACTATTCCCTATTTGACAAAGCTAATATGGACTTGTTCAATCCATGTTCTTATTAAATTATAACATTATTTTCAATTTTAATTATTATAATACAACAGGACTTTGAAATCAATATTATATTTACATAACAATCTGAAAAACCACATTCTCTAAAAGTTACTTCAGAAACCATAAATAAAAATTTACAACTAGCGACAATTTTAGTTCTTACATTTACAGTTGGTGATACACTGACTTCAGCACCAAAATAACCAAAACAATCTGGTTAAATACATTTTTCGAATATGCAATACCATTGTAATAAGGGATAACTATAAAAGTAGTGTTAAAACAATTCAAATAAAAATGTAATAAAATGCATTTTGTAAATAAAACCATGTAAACAAGAATTTTAGAAAAAACACCATTTTATACAAACATTAATTGAGATCTTGATAAAACACGAAGAAGGCCGTATTCTGTAATACTTAAAATGTAATTTGCACCAAATAAACAAAAATTTCATGCAGGATTGCAATTTTCTATTGGATAATTATTGGATGTACATTAATTGTTATACTGTATGTGCCTTTGAACATATATAATTAGAATTGGCAGAGTATAAATAGTTTTTTTAATCTGAGGTTTTACTCAGATATTAACCAATCAATCATTAGATATATAAGGCGCATAATACAGTTTTCTCCATTAGCTGAACTCCTCAGACTCTTAAGATCTAATAAATAGGCTTTCAAAGGATATAGACCACAATTATAACACACCTAATTGGATCGTTGTCATTTGATTGGCGGATTTTGTATCATGTCGTGACACTGGTTATTTACACCATTTAATCACTCATCATGAAAATTTAGTTCCGTGCATTTTTTTGTTCCATTCGTTTTGTCCCATTACACTCCTCAACCTAATACAATCTTTTCATTGGCTAAAAGACAATAAACTGTTCCATTCAGGCGAAAGACGGATTTACCTCACACTATTTTTTTTCATAAATTATTAAATGACAAATATCAATTCTAGGTATGTTATAAAACAATTAATGAATGTGTTTTATTCGTGCAATGGAAAGAATATTCCATTCGTTTCATGAAAATATTCCTCCCATAGCACTCATAAACATTCATTATTTGTATATTGTAGAATCCAGCCAATGATAGCTACCAATGTTCTTATCAGATACAGTTAGCATCTGATCATTTGTACTGTCGTAAATGCAACATACAACAAGCAGAGTATTCCCCAATGTTAAAAATATATACAATTAATGGGACAACAGAATGGTACAAAACCTTAAATAGTATTAGTTTCAAGTCTTTTTCCAGAATAGTATAATAAATAATGGAATAATAGCTTACTTGTGTTCAAAAATATAACAAAGGTTGAACTTTTATTCTTAAAACAAGATTTAATTGATATAGAGTTCACACTGCAATTTTAGACAACCTTTCAGACCTCAAAATTAAAGGTGGTCTCGTCGTTCGGTCTCAAATTAGGGGTTTAGCTTTGTGCTAAAAGATTGAAGTATGTTACTTGGTAATTTGGAGGAGTTGTCTTAAATTATAGTGGTCTCGAATTGGAGAGTGAAGTGTATATATATATATATATATATTTGAGAGTGAAGTGTATATATATATATATTTACGCTCCACTGTTTTATAAGATTGTGTGCTGTGAATCTTTAGCCATATTACAATAAGTATGCAGCGAAGGGTCATAGTTATTAGTTTAAAATGTTATGGTAAAAGATAATCCCATGTTAGAACAAATGTTTAACCTTCGTTTCATTCAACAATATTACATAATAATTATAACAAACAATAACAACCAGGAATGTTATAGTGTAAAACCTATTAGGTATAATATATACATGGTAATAATTAAATCTAATCATGAATGTAATCAAGGCTACAAAAGTTAATGAAAAAGAAATTATATTAAAGATGTATTTTTTTACAGGATGATAAATAATAATAGTTACAATAATTATACGTTCATGTAAAGTGCCATTATCTAAATAATTAGCGATTTGGCAAAAGGTTCTTTCTCTATCAGACTACCAATTTCCCATCATATTTTTTTTTCAAAATGTTGTAATCTATTTTTAATAGGAATGAAAAAAAAACCCATTAAAAATAGAATCTGTTCTTATAAACAACCCATTTTTGGTTATAACATCTTAACTCTCAGATAATTATCTTCGATTAATTTTGGGCATATGATATTTAAAGGGTATTGATGTCAATTGAGGATTAGATTAAACGAGCTAATACTTCTTTGATGGATTCGGATTAAATAAACATGACGTCAAGTTGTTTGACATCGAGTCTTCAACATCAGCTTATAACACTGTCAATCAATTGGTAATCACCACTGTGTAAAGCTCTGTCCAGACCTAAATATGGTCATGATGACATCACATCTGATATCATCACGTCTAATATCATCACATCTGATATTATTTATATGGTAATGGTATAATGTTTGTAGAACGCCTTCAACAATAAAATCGTCTCAAGGCGCTGAATATGATATCAATTTTTATATAGGCACATCATGACTAAATAGTTTGGACAGAGCTCTATTTAAAAATGTTGACTTGTATATAACTTTGTATATATGTATCTTTGTATATATACATATGTTCGATAAAAAAACCCCTTATATTGCAACACTATATAAAGGGGTCATTCACAACTAAAAAATTTTTTTCAAGTACAGGTATGTAGGATAATAGAGGTTGAATAACATGCTTCCAATTAATTAAAATCTCTTCATAACTAATCGACACATACGGTGTTCCTATATCAACATTTTTTATAAAACGGGATCACAAAAAAGAGCAATCTTTAAAAAAGTTTATAACTGTGAACGGTCCCTTCCTACTTTCATGTGTACCAGAAATATTTTCCTCTACGCTTCAAGTTTAAAACTAAACATATCTCACAGTGTTTAAGAACAGGGATGATTTGAAACATGCAGCACATCATACAGATGACGAGGACGATGAATCGTTTGAGGGCAATGATTCACAGACGCTGGTCCAGATGTTTATGAGATTATCAACACCGAATAAATATCCGTCCTCGTGATTTCCCTCAACCCACGGTGTTCTATGATCGTTTGTCAATGAGTCGGGTAATGGAATGGTCTTGCCGAAGTCAATTATCCATATCCCGGTCTTGCCGCTTTTGTCATGAATAAAAAGCAATGAGCTTCCTATTACCTGTATGAAAACAAATTAAATTCATTATTATTTCTTATTTACTATTATATTTTTGCTACTTTATTTTTATTTGTTCCAAAGTTATATTTTTCATATTTTGATGTTTTATATTGCTCTGAATTCATTTTAGTGTTTGTGCTCGTAATTTCTGAATTTTTATGTATAGTGCACTTTTATATTTGTGAATAAAAAAAAACTGAACTGAACAATTTAAAAAAAATTAATATAATCTATATATTTTTTTTTATTATAGTAACAAATAAATAAATGATTTGAAAATGATGATTTGCATTTACAAACTAATTAAAATTGATAATTATTTCTTATTTACAACTGGTATTTGTTTTTTATATATATGTTTCATTAAATTAATTTATATATTTTTTCATTATGGTAACTAATAAATATACGATTTGATGATAAAAAGTTGCAACAGTGAATATTTCGCCAAAACAGAATGAAAAACAAACATATATTGTTGGTATATAAACCAGATCATGAAACTGTATTTGAGTATGACTCTTGCTAATCTTGTAGAAAAATTCTGGTAACAAGTGCCTTTGTTATTGAAATTATATCAGAAAATCAATATAAATAAAATCATTATTGAGTACTAAATTGTTAGCTCAACTCAACAAATACGAACAAATCAACACATCAATCTCTTGTCATGATTTGACAAGTTCAATTCATCATAAAAAATGTAAACATCTTGAGATTCCATCAAGGTATTTGCTGCTATGAAGGAGCACCGGAATTAGTAGTACTTCTTCACCAATATGTACCAAGCTAGATAAGCACATACCTCGTGCAGAGCAAAGAATGTGGAGCTTTCCAGCGTTGCTCTTATTGCTTTAAGCGTTGACACATATTTCTCTGCGGTCTTACGATCGGCATCGGCAAATGATGTGAAATGCTCTTGAATTTCTTGCCTGTCTTTCGTCGTTTTGAAATTACGACTTGATGTTCCATCTGCTTTCTGTGTAAAAAAACAAAAAAATGTTTAACAATCTAAAAGACCAATAGAAATGAAAATAGATTATAGAGTTGAAAAGAAAATACTAAATTGGATTCAACCTACTATACTAGATTTTTGCAGTCATTAATGTTTACACAACTTTTTTTTATACTTGCATAATAGGTGTACAGGAAGATTGATATAATGTTAAGCATTTGAATTTGATTTATCTCCCGCCGCAGGACAGTTACACACAGGTGCTGGCCACCTGTTCTGTTCTCTCTTAAGAATGAATTTGCTCTATAGATCCACACAAAAATAAAAGGGAACATATAATTGAATATGTTAGATGTTACCCAAGATATTTGCTTTCCAATCCCAGGGGTTCTAGGTACAATTCCTGCAGAACACCATTATGGTTTTCTCACAAGATAAAACAGTTAGTTCTATCTTTAAGCCTGATAAAAACACTTCACAGTTCTCTATACACTAGCATTTACAGAATCATTCAAATTGCTCTAACTCACCAGAAAATGCTGGCGCGGAGCCAAACATTTTACTGTGGGGTTATCTCATGTACACTCCCCCCACCCCACCAACAGGCAAAATATTGGGCGATTTCAAGGGGGTCGAGCAAAAAAGTGTGTTAAAAACATATGGAAAGACTCTATTGCAATATAACTCGGAATAAAATTCAGCTTTGCTTTAGTCGAAATTTAATCTAAGTCAAACTATATTTCAGTGGCACTTTACATTCGACTTAGGTGAGTTTGACTGAACCAGGGAGGTTCTATACAACAGCATGCCAGATAAAGATTGATGGATCTTCAAAATAATTTATCAGCAATCTGATAAATTTAGGTTGTACAAGAACACTTTGAGCAAAACTGTGATGTAAAACCTTATGTCATGTACACTGAACATCATCAAGGTTTATTTATTGGTCTAATATTTAAAATTACCTTATTATTATTCCCTATTAGTGTATATCTGTAATTAGGTCAAATTTCCGTAGCAAATATGGGAATACATAGAATTTGAGAACTCTGCATCTACTTTGTACCACCCTTACTCCAACCCTGCATGCTTACCTTAATACCCTCGATTCTGAATCCCAGGCTGGCTGATGAGCTAACGTTCTCGCGCCACTGCATGTAACGTGGTTTGATGATTGCTTCTTGCGCCCTTTCCTCTTCTGTTGGTTCATCAGGGTCAATCTCTATCATCTTTTGATACATATCCTAGAAAAGAATGACATCATTTAGTATCATTAATTATATATTTAAAATTCATTTATGTTTCAAAAACAAATCTAAAAAAGCAGAGGAATGGAGAAGGTGAGCAAAGCGTGGTTTTAATTATATACCGACCAAAAAGCTTTACGGAAACCAGTCTTCAAGTTACCCAACAATTAGCGACTACTTCCTTGTTTTGTCTACAGTAGTTTTCCATTACAGAATTTATTTTTGTACAACTTATTCTTTGGGGAGAAAAACAGAAATATAGGATCCCAGCAGGTAGATAGGAAAGTTGCCTGCAAGCAGCCAATAGACACAAAAATGCAATGGCTAATCGCCAATACAAAAATAAAATGAAATTGAGACCGAGATTCAAACAGCTTGAATTAGGCCACTATTGGAATCCGCAGTATAAAAACCATCATTTTAGATAGCTCCATGTAATTTTTTTTAAATATTTGCACATAAAACTGGCTGATTCTGATTCCAAATATCATTGTAATTGGACATCACAACATGTGCATTTGGACTAACTTCTCATTTCTATCCTAATTTTGGGGGGAAAAAAACCACTGTCTGTCCTAAGAACACGAGATGCTAAGTAATGTTTTCCAGGAAATCTCCATAAATTCTATTTATAGAACAGCTGGTATACATTGATTCCAGCATATTAATTCCCAATTATCGAAACTACTATAAAACAGGATATTAAAATGAAACTCAAAGAAAATAATGGCTATTGCAGGAATCCCAACTGGTGAATTTCAGATTTCGCATTTAAAATAAGAAAATTGTGTCTTACCTTCCTGAGTTTAGGTTTTTCCCGTGCTTTTTTCAATTCTTCTTCTATATATGTACGTGTTCCAAGTTTACAATCCATTACGCATGGGTTCTCAAAATCTAATAACAAATCCTGCATTTGTATGTATTCTGATATTGAAATATAATTAAGGAACAAAACTTGTGTATTTTATCATTTTTTATATTATTGTTTAATATGGATCATTTGTTATTGTCATTAGTATTAGTTACTATTATTTCTATAATTTTTAACATATTATTTTATGTTATATTTTATTATTATTTAATTGTTACTCAGAATGTTATTGTTATAGTGTTTATTATGTTATATTAATGACTGTGCAATTTGAAATCATTTTTATTGGGACCCATACAGAAATAAGTAGTGGCTACTTTTTATGGCCTATCCCATTAATCAGGGTTGTTTGTTGTACTTCTGCCTGTTTTGTTTCCTGTTGTTTCAATGTTGCTTGTTGAACAAGTTTTATTTCATGAATGAATAAATTTCAATTCATTTCAAAAAGTTACAGTATATACTTTATATTACATTTTATTATTAATATTTAGTTGTTACACATTTTTAATGTTTTTATTATATTATTATGTTATATTATCCGCAAGATCAACTGATTAATCTCAGATAAGAAAGTATAATACATACTTCCAAGTATTGAAATACACGCCATTGTGTTGGGATTCAATATTTCGAAATTAATTACGTCATCATCAGAAATGATGATGTTGATCATGGTATAAATTAATGTAGAAATACTGAAACCCAACACGATGGTGTGTATTTCAATGTTATATTATCTTAAAATATTCTTACTTTTTTTTTATATTATCAAGTTGTATTGCATTTATTGTTACAGTTACATCTCTAGATATGAATCATCAAAGTGCATGATAGGAGGAGGAGTTAATGAAGTTTCATCTTAGAAAAGGCCATAAAGGATAATGGTGGATTCTTCCTTAATTATCATTTGAACTTAAAATTAAAAATTAAAAAAAAAATCACAATTAAGGATACTTTCTCCATTTTTTTCAGCTTCTCCCTTGTATTTTGGAATGTATGGTCGTAGAACATCGTTCATCAATGCCTGCAACGCCTCCTGCTCACGAGGGCAGTGTTTCTTTAGAATGTCGCCATCCTCAGCGCATTCAAAGTTACCTAGAATAATAAATAAAACCTTACTGCAACAACAAGAAAATACTTCAGCACACTTGGTTACAGTTTATAACCCCTATTGACTATAAAGAAGTAAAAGCTCAACAACCAAGTAATAATTACATTTTATAATTTCTTCTATGAGGAACAATTGATCTAAGAAATTCATTCCTTATTATAAACACTGTTACATCCTTTTGACTAACAAAAATCCCTCATTTTTGGGTACAATAAAGACCAGAAGATTCTACTTTACAAAGAGAAGCATTAATAATAATAATAATAATGATAATAATAACCAGACGTCTGTAAATGGGTTCCTATGATATTGTATGTAGCAGGCAATAGTTATTGTAAGTAAAGATTCTAAATGATAATAAAACACTGATGATAATAACCTGACACTGTGATGTGCTGATCATCCAAAATATTATTATTATTACTATTATTATTATAATGCTTGTGTTAAAGCTAAACCATTCAAGGTGCTTATTTGATCATTTATGGTAGTAATAATAACTGTCATGATAAATAACAATATTTGGAAGAATTGAGAGCATACCTTGATGGCCTGCTAACTGAACCCATGGATACCGTCGCTTATAAGACTGCACGAATGGAGACCAATGTACCAGTGTCCGGATTTTCTTCCATTGCATTAACTGAAAATATAACAAGCACAACACTGTCAAAGGACATATCATAATTATCACAATGTAAAACTACTATTATACACAGCAGGTACAGTATTAAGGACCTCTGTAAATATTTATTAATCTCACATTCTATTTACATAGATACCCGGAAGTAAACTCCCACCCTTAATTATTAGTACATTTCCTACATAATGTACAATAAGTAAACTCTCCAAAGGGTCAAACAAGCCAAACTATATGACCAATCAGATAAATGCTATTTTTAGGACCGCCCACAAGTCCAATAAACAAATCTTAGCTTGTGCTGCAATAATAGAGCATTGATAGGCCAATACCATTGTATATCTGGGTTATCTGTAATACTGGTGAGACTAGAAATGCAAAAATGAATTCATTAGATGCGGATGAAGGCCTACTGTGTTTTAGTTTATAACTTTTTTATAACTTCTTATTGTAAGAACAGTTTCTCAGAAACTCTACTCCATAAAATTTTTGTAGAATGTTTTGTAACTTGGTTATAAACACACACGAATAAAATAACGGCAAAGTGTAAGTCTCAGAAGGGGATAGCCAGAACAACAGCAAGTAACAAGTACCGTTGTTGATTATATCAGATAGTATAATACATACTCCAGTATTGAAATGCACGCCATCGTGTCGGGATTCAATATTTCAACATTAATTCTACTATTTGACAATTATACTGTAAATGTCACGCAACTCAGCTATGTACCGTTGGCGCCAGGGGCGGATCCAGTATCCAAATTTTGCACACTATATTTTAAAATTTCAAGGCATTTAATGAAATCTCACTTATCTATTCTGAATATGTTGTACCCCCCCCCCCAGTTTGAAAAATTCTGGATCCGCCCCTGGCTGCCATGTTGATATATGAACAAAATGAAAAATGAAATGAAAATGAAAGAATATTACTCCTCAGCACCGAAATATTATATAAGATGGGTAGAAAAACACAATGAGGAAAAACGAAAAGTTAATATATTTTGTAGTGGCATATGAGAGGAAAAATCATTCAATCTATTTGGGAGTGGGAGTTGAGAGCTTATTCAATTCCTTTTAATGAGCACTTAATGTTTTCAATTAATATACCAGTTTATGTTCAACAATCCATATAGACTAAATATTGTCGGAAACAATGTACCGGTAATGTGTAGGTGTGGCCCAGGCTAAGTGCGGTCAAGTAGCATGAAGTTAAACATGTTTTGTTTGTTCAATTAATTCACATGTATTAGGCCAAAAAAAAATTTTTAGTTTACCCTTCTTTCTTTAAAAATGATAAATAGGGACGGGTGGAAAGAAAAAGGCTAAAAAAAAAACTTAAAAGTTTTTTCGCCCCTATTTTTTTTCAAATAGTTAGGGGCGGGTGGAGGAGGGCAAACAAACAATTTTTTTGTTTGGTATTATATTTGATCAAGTTTATATTTTTGTAGTAATTAGATGTAGAACTGAATTCATAATTTGGTTGTATACTGTATAAGTTTTGTTGTTCAATCTAATGTATTAATACACATGTATTATATTTGATTAAATTTATATATATAATTACATATATTCTTTTGTATATCTTAGTTAATTAGGCCTGATGTTACCATCAATGTTGATGAGAGGCGGCCACACAACATTTATTTAATTTATAAGCCGTTAAATACATGCACCTACAGCTGAAACATAGCCTGCAGTACTCTGATAACTAAATAAAATTTTTATTCTTTTTAAATTCATTGTTCCTATATACTGTATTGTATTTTGATTATTCAATTTGAATTTTCTTGTGATATTAATTGATGCCTTAGTTTAGGCATAAATTATACCTTTTGATGTCTTGTATTTTTCTTCCACTTGCATTCTAAATTCAGATAATTTATTGCCTTCTAAGTGTTTTTATACCAAAAAAAAAAAAATCCAGGACTAGAAAACACATACAGTCTACAGAAAAAAATAGTTACGGTACATGATGATAGATTGAAAACAAGTAAAAAATATTCTACAAACATTTTCCAAAATGTTTAGGACTCTGCTGATAATCTAAGGAAATGCTGAAAGTTTAATATTACAGGAAGTTGGCACCTAGTGACAATTTGCATAAAAAAAACAACTCTTTGTTTAAAAATTATAAACTGGGATCTTGTTATGACAAAGGTTGAGATTTTTAACCTGGCAGAAAACTCAAAACTAAAAATGATTTCCCGCATGGCATGTACAATATTGAGCACACTGGTTATATCATAGCACAAATATATTTGTTATTACGGTATTATCAAATAATTTACCACTAAAGTTTGTAAATAAAACTCAATTTGATGCTACTACAACATTAAACTTATCAAAGTACAGTATTTATGAAAGAAAGTGAAATATAAATTTATGTGGTATAGAAGTTTTGTATTAGATACTTAGATACAAAAAAATAGGCCTACCGATACCGTACATCTTTATTGCCATAATATTAACAACAAATTTTACATCGTTGAAAAGTGTGTAAATTGTTAAGATAATAAAAAAACATATATCTGGAATTCCAAAAGTGATAAATACTGATGAAGATGATAAATATCACTTACAAAATTAATTCTCAAGACAAAACACAAGAGATAGAAAAAGTTATAGAAAGTTTTTAAAGCAGTATGGCAAGGGTTCTCATATTAAATTTGACATACCGCTACTTTGGATAGGGTCCATAATTTACAATTATTGGATATAATGCCTACTCCCACAGGAATTAATTGTGGTGGGGTGTTTTTCCAGAACACCTATCATACCAGACAGTTGAAACTCCTACAGTTATTGCAGTTTCCTACTCCTACTTGTAGTTAAAATACAAATAGATATTCCTACGACTTCGAGGAAGAGCCTAATTCCTTACAAGAATTGATTTCTACAACATGCTAATAAGAAACAAAACAAGTTCATAAAACTCAGACCTGTTTTTTCAAGGTATATCCCATGCCTAGGTTTTTGCTCTAGCAATTCACTGCCATAGACCGCTGAACAACAAAATCCGTCTGGTACGGTACAAATTAAATCCTTGATCTGACTCTCACCAGGAAACTATGGGATAGAACGCACCTATTCCACCAATCACTGCTAGCTATGATAGCAAAGGCTAAAAATACTACTGCATAATATACCAGTGAGTAACGGAGTACCATATAAAGTTCATACACCAAGTGATGACATCACAATAGTACATCCCACATTCAACAGCACACACTATTATTATGCAAAGGGTATTCCCCAACAATAAAACAGTCATATGATATGGATATGGATAAGGAGAAACTTAGTGAAACTTGAAAAAAAAAATGACATACAATAATAATCATATGACTAAGTATTTTATATATGGAGCATTTTTCTATTTTAAGTGACAATCTATTGATCATACTTCTTTATTTTTTTAAAGACTTTTTGATTAAAAAAAAAAAATGAATTTTTAACATATTATGTCAAGGAGACTTATTGAAACCTAAAAAATGACCAAGTATTTTATATATGGAAACTTTTTCTATTTTAAGTGACAATCTATTGATCATACTTCTCTTCATTTTTTAAAATACTTTTCTACTTTTTATTGGAAAATTCTTAAAACTAAAACTATGGGCTGTAGACAAATAAAAAAAAGTTTCTTGTTAATTGTGACCTTGACCTTTGACCCTGACCCTTCCAAATTTAATCAGCTCTAGATCTTAGGTAAAAGAACATTGTGGTTTGACAAAGTTCTTGATAAAAAACTATGGGCTCTAGGCTGTTCACAATAAATATGCCAACAGTCAAATAAATAAATAAATAAATAAACAGGGCCAAAAACATAACGTCCTGCCAACTTCGTTGGTGGAGGTAGTGAGATCTTTGGTCATGGAACATAGTGACCAAGTTTGACAAGTTTGTGAATGTGATTAAATCTATGGGCTGTAGACAAGTAAATAAAAAAAATAGTTTTTTGTTGATTGTGAACCTTTGAACCTGACCCTTCAAAATTTAATCAGCTCTAGATCCTTGGTAAAGGAACATTGTGGCCAAGTTTGACGAAATTCTGATAAAAACTATGGGCTGTAGTCTGTTTACAAAAAATATGCTGACAGATAAATAAATAAACTAAATAAAAAACCACGCAAAAACATAACCTATTGCCAACTTCGTTGGCGGAGGAAATTTAAAAAAAAATGTTTTTCCCAATTTTCTTTTTCAATACATGCGGGTGAGGATGATAACTAATCATATTTTTTATTGGGCCTTATATTTCAATACATACTGTTATGTATTTTCAATTAACTATGAGAAACGTTTCCCATGCTGATTGCCATTATGGTAGATATTCTGGTCAATCAATGGGAAAAAACAGCATTCACTCAGATTTATCATAATACAAAGTACTAGGTTTCAAGGAGATAAACAACAGTGACAGAAATAGACCGAGTTTTTATTACAAAATTTCTATTTTTATATATTAAAACACAACATTTTGTGAGCAAAAAAACATTACTTATCATAATAATTAGGTTTTTGTTACAATATTTTAATTGTCCAGTAATATAGCATATTTATTATCAGTGTTACAGTTAGAATTACGGCTACCAACGTAGAGTAGGATCTGGTCTGGTAGAAGTATTGTATGTAGAAGCATACCCTATAGAGGTGGAAGAGGTTTGAACCTAGATGGTTTCAGCTATTTATATATTGAATTGAAAGCTTTTTCCCACCAAAAAAATGAATATATTTTCCTTTTAATAATACTGGCTGACTGTCTTAATATAATACCATTAGTCCTAGAGTTGAGTCCTTTTTGTGTACATTTCTTAAATGGACTAAAAACTTAAACTAAAAAAAAAAAAAATTATAAACATTTAGTGTTAGTTGATAGTCTAGCTAGTGGTATTGAACTTTGTTCAGGTTCCCCTCCCCCCCCCCCCCCCACCTTTTTAATTGATATACTCAATAATAATAATAATAATAATAATAATAATAATTATAATAAAAACACAGTA